GAGACGGGGAGTAGGGCTCTCACGTCAAAAGAGAAATCAGTTTTACGTATGCTTTCAGAAACAATTTTATAAAAAAAAAAATTAAAATAAAGACAAAATCGAAATTTAGTAAGCAACCAACTTTTAAGTTAGTCTTTCTGCAAAGCTGAAAGTGTTACTAACGTTTAAAACTTCAATGAAGGGCTTTTAAAATAAAAATAAATCTCATCAAACTTAGCATTCATCGCAGAGCTGAGATGCAGTTTAGCATACGTTAAACGTTAAGTATGATCTGCAGCCGGGTGTGGTGGCGCACACCTTTGATCTCAGCACTTGGGGGGCAGGGGCAGGCAGATCTCTGTAAATTCGAGGCCATCATGGTCTACAAAGAGTTCCAGGTCATCCAGGACTACCATAGTGAAACCTGTCTCAAAAGCAAGCAAACAAATGAACAAACAAACGAATAAATAAATTCTAGTGGCAAATGTCTTCCATCCTAGCACTCTGGGAGGCAGAGGCAGATGGATCTCTGTCTGGGGCTCTGTTACACAGACAAGAAATCCTGTCTCAAAAAAAAAAAAAAAAGAAAAAGAAAAAGAAAGAAAGAAAGAAAGAATTGAGTACATGAATGAATGAATATGGATCTGCATTTTGCAAATTTGAGAGTAGTGTGCATTGGTTAATATTTCACAACGACTTTCTGTCACTCAAACTTATTCCTGAATACTGAGCCAGGACTGGGAATGCAGGGGCTCTAGACTGGTCTAGACTGGTTTCCACTGGAGCGTGGAGCAGCAGGGCTAGTTTGAGCCTCTGGTTGAGATCAACAAAGGCCTCCAGGTGACCAATCCAGGGATACCTTGCCTCCTCCTATCAGATGCATGCAAAGTTTAATGTCCCCGCTTCTTTTCCTCCTGGATCCAGTGGGAGCTTTACTCCTTTTTTCCTCCTGGATCAGCTCATCCTTTTCTTTTCTTTTTTATCCTGAGAGCCGTGTCTCTGGAGAGGCGCATGTAGGCTCATAGCATGGTCTACATCCTCACTCTACGTCTGAGGTGACAGCAATGGCCAGTCTCCCAAGACTCAGATTCATTTGTGTCTTGGACATGTGCTTTGAGATCTCACAACCTCTCAGCCCATTCAAGACAGACTTATGCCCCTATTCCATAGCTCATTTTCAATCTGTAGACGGCATGCATTTGTAGGGAGGACAAAAAGGCAGAAACTTGTCCACTACTATGTCTTTTTAATAGAAAAGGCACAATTCTTTTTTTCTTTTTTGGCTTTTTGAGACTGTTTCTTTATGTGACTCTGGCTGCCCTGTAGACCAGGCTGGCCTTGACCTAAGAGATCTGCTTCTCTCTGCATCCAGAGTGCTGGCATGGTGGTACATATCTTTAAGCAAAGTTTTCCAATGCCCATAATGAGCACAGGAAATGATGCCAGAATCTGCAAAAGACCTTGCAAGCAATTGTACAAGAAGTTCAAAATCTCCGAGGTGACCTCACTCTGACTCCAGGAACAGCGTTTATTATTGGTAGCATCCTGGCTGAGAAGCCAAAATCTGTGTCCGCCATCAATAACTTTGGAAAAGTGAGGTGAATGGATGGCTGATGTTTTAAAACCCATCATAATAATCATTATTAATTTCAGTTGCCAATATACAATGTTTTAGCTCTGCTGTTTTCAGGGCCTGAAAATAATTCAGTTTGTGTTTTTAAATATAAAAGCATTTGTAGCTGGTCAAGGTAGTGCACACCTGTAACCATGGTGCTTAGAGTGTGGAGGCAGGAGGATCTGAGTTCAAATACATAGCAAATTTGAGGGCAGCCCGAGCTACTTACACTCTGTCTCAAAACAAGGCATTTTTATGTTCCTGAACAAAAAGATTTAAAGAAATATCTAAAGTGTGCTATCCTTCTAGAAGAGAGGGGTGATGCTGGGAGAAAAAAAAAAAAAAAGGATAAAAAAAAAGCACATTTATCTTTCATTGCTTCAGAAGAAATGTCAAAAAGCATACCAGAGACAAGTGAGATGTTTGACCACCTTATAGTGATGGGAATGGGATAATGTGAAAGGAACGATACTTGTTTAGGGATGTTTTCTATAATGCACCATTCCTTAGAAGATATCCTCCCAGAACACCAACTAGGATACCAGGGAAGCCAAAATCAAATGCAAATAAATAATAACATATATACCCAACCCCATTTCAAATGGACAACATAACCAAACAGGAAGTAAAAAGGAACTTCAACGTGCTGGAGTGATGGCTCAATGGTTAAGAACCTCTCTAGAGGTCCTGAGTTCAGTTCCCAGCAGCTGCACGGTGGCTCACAACTATCTATACTGGCATCTGATGCCCTCCCCTGGCATGCAGGTGTACATACAGATAGAGCACTCATACATAAAATAAATAAGTCATAAAAGAAAAAAAAAAAGAGGGAGTTCGGTTATTTTGGAAGGTAATTATTGTGTGAACTTTTCCTGGGGAAATGAACAATGTGCACCCCAGATGAGGCATCAATGGCAGAACAACGAAACGATTCCATCTCCTGCCTGTCTCCTGAATAGCTCCGAGCTCCCATGGTTGGCAGGGAAATTTTCCGTTGTTGGGGCAGGGCGTTGATGCTCAAATACTTCTCCAAAACCGGAATGAAGTTTGTTGCAGTCCATACATTTCAAGACCAGACCACCAGGCACAGTGACTCTCCAGAAAGATGTGTGCTGGAATCATGCCAGGAATTCTGCCTTTTTTTTTTTTTTTTTTACTAGTTCTAATTCTTGATATGATCATTCTACAGAGTGATACACCCACTACCTTGTTGTCATTGTCAGACGTATACTGGCCTGGTTTGTAGGGAAGATGCAGACAGCTGATAAGTAGAACTGGAGTTATATTTACAAGACTAACAGTTGATGTATCTTACTTGACATTGATAAAGAATTTCCTGGAGTCGAAGATGTTTGTTTTTGTTTTGACTTTTCAAAACAAAGGCTATTTTTATCTTCCCTTATGTGAGGTGGCAAGGTGGAGTTTGCAGTGGGCAGGGCAGCATCTTTGAAAAGAGACACTCTTAACTGAAAAAAGAAGAGTCAGCTAGAGTTGAGCTTCTCATCACACAAAGCGCCTTTCCTGACTGGAAATGCAAGTCTGAATCCTAACTGATGGTTTGGAAGCTCACCTAGGCCTGACTGATCCTGCGATAGCCACATGCTCATGCTTGCAGTCAGCACAGCTGGGCCTGACACCTGGGCATAGCGACGGAACCCAGGACTTTGAGGTGAAGAACTCAAGCTTTATCACTTTTGTTTCTGTCTTGTGAACATACCATCTAAATCCAGAAGTGAACCTATTTTTGGAGATGTAACGGCTTCAACAGTATTTCAGACAGTGGGGTGATACTTTGCATATTTCTGAGTTCTCATTCGGTTCCTGGTTTTCTTAGGGATATTTTATAAGAGAAAGAAAACAAACCTAAAATTGTTTCCGCCCGGTTTCGAACCGGGGACCTTTCGCGTGTGAGGCGAACGTGATAACCACTACACTACGGAAACTAGGCTGCTTGGGATCTGACTGGCAAGTTCCTGAATCTACGATTAGTCACCGTACCTAAACGTGCTCAGAGGATATAATCATCAATTATTTCTGACCCAAAAACTAGCAAAACAAGCAAAAAAGACACAGCAGAAATCCTCTGGGTGCCACAGGGGCATCTTTATTAATAGAGCCAGGACAGGATTCTCTCACGAACAAAAAAGCCAATTCGAGACTCTCCGCTTGGAGTGAAATTCCAGGAACACAAATCTCAAAAGCATTTTGGATGCAAATGTTAAAATGTGTGCACGGTCCATATAAAGTATTAAAATTTCAATGCATCCACAGCAGTTGGGGAATATTTTTAAAGAGAACACATGGACTTGTTTCAAAAATCAAAGGATACAGAAGGAACTACATGTTTAGGTTAAGTGTCTTTACTCCCTGGTCAGCCTTCCTAGAGAAACTACTGCCTTCAACAGAGGAGATTATGGTGGAGTAGCTAACCCTCAACTCTTACCAGATGCTAGAAAGCGTTCTGACCGCTTTACAGGACATCTTCATGAAACCCCGTGAGGCAACAGCTAGTACGAAATACAGTTAACATTGCCCTTCACACTGTTCAGCCATCCGCATTTTTTGAATCTAATGCATTCCGGAGGTTCTTCTTCACATAGCTGAAGTGTTTCATTTAATGTGGGCGTGGATATTAACAACAAATGATGGGACCGGTTGACAATTTTCAGTGCTTCCTTGCTTTGGCTGCTGGCGGTTGTTCTCTGGGACGGGGTCTCCCTGTGTAAGCCAGGTCAGACAGACCTGGAACTTGCCACAGTTCTCCTGTCTCAGCCTCCCAAGGGTAGGGCCGAAGCTCGCCGGCAAGGCTGCAGTTTCTAGAAGGGGCGTGGAGGGTGGCGCATCTCTCACCTCAGTCTTAATTGACCTCGTCAGGTCCCGCCCAAGAGCCCTCCTGGAGGGGCTCACTCCCATCCCCGACTGCGAGCCCCAAACAAACAAGTTCTGGGTCTAGAGAGGCCGGAAGTGTTGGAGGACGCCGAGCGGGCCCGCCCCTCAGCTTCCGGCACCGGTCTCGGGCGTCCCTTCTGCAGTCGTCCGTGCCTGGTCGGTAGGATGGCGTCGGGCCGCTGCGGCTGTAGCACGGAGAGCCAGGGGCTGCCCCGCGCGCACGCCACCCTCCGCCGTCTGTCCCCGCTGGCAGGGCATGGGGGCTCCTTCCGCTCTGTACGCGTTCCCCGCGGCCAGTCGTCCCCGAGACGGGGGCCTCCGCCGTCCTAGCCCTCCTGTCCCGTTCCCGCGTGTCGGCTAGAGCGTCTCCTTCTCGTTTCCTGTTGCCCCGGAGCCCGGGGCGGGGTGTGGTAGAAGGGGCGTAGCCCAACCTCGGAGGGAACTCGTGAGGTTAGGTCGTGGGTAGACGCCGGAAGCGTTGGGAGGGAGGCCGGAAGCTGGGGGGCGGGGCCAGGAAGTGCGGAGGGGCGGGGGCTTCGGAGGCCGGGGGAGCGCTGGGGCAGATTTGCACTCAGGGCCACCTGAGGTACTTGTCGGTGGTGCTCACCTCTGTCCCCTCCCCTCTCCGAGACACGACTGTCGTCTTGGGGTAGGAGACTGTGTGTGGAGAGGTGGGCTGGTCGGAGGACATTTCCTTTGGCCTCGCAGCAGGCAAGGTGTGGAGAGGCAGAGCCTGGGGTGGGGACGGGTCTTCTGGGCTTCAGAGAAGGAAGACCCCCCCGCCCCACCCCCCCGAACCCCCTCCTGCACTTCTACACTGGCTGACTGGACACTAAGATGGCTGCCGTTGCCATGACACCCAACCCTGTGCAGACCCTTCAGGAGGAGGCGGTGTGCGCCATCTGCCTCGATTACTTCACGGACCCCGTGTCCATCGGCTGCGGGCACAACTTCTGCCGAGTGTGTGTAACCCAGTTGTGGGGTGGGGAGGATGAGGAGGACAGAGATGAGTTGGATCGGGAGGAGGAGGAGGAGGACGTCGGAGAGGAGGAAGAAGTGGAGGCTGTCGGGGCGGGCGGGGGTTGGGACACCCCCATGCGAGATGAAGATTATGAAGGTGACATGGAGGAAGAGGCCGAGGAGGAAGAGGAAGGTGTGTTCTGGAGCAGCGGTTTAGGCGGGTCCAACTGGGACAACATGGACTATGTGTGGGAGGAGGAGGAGGAGGAGGAAGATCTGGACTATTACCTGGAGGACGTGGAGGAACTGAGGGGGGAAGATGAGGACGAAGAGGAGGAAGTGCTGGAGGAAGATGAGGAAGAGGAACTGGACCCAATCACCCAAATTCCGCCGCCACCTCCTGCCCCTCGGAGGTGCTTCACCTGTCCCCAGTGTCGAAAAAGTTTTCCTCGGCGGAGCTTCCGCCCCAACCTGCAGTTGGCCAACATGGTCCAGGTGATTCGTCAGATGCATCCAACCCCTGGTCGAGGAAGTCGAGTGAATGAACAGGGCATCTGTCCGAGACACCAGGAAGCCCTAAAGCTGTTCTGCGAGGTGGATGAAGAAGCCATCTGTGTGGTGTGCAGAGAATCCAGGAGCCACAAACAGCACAGTGTGGTGCCATTGGAGGAGGTGGTGCAGGAGTACAAGGTGAATACAACAGGGAAGGCAGACTTGAGTAAGGATAGAGAGGGAATAAAGGGAACCGGGGAAGGGGAATGTTGGCCCTCTTAACAAGAGTGTATGTATTAGCGAAATGATTCCCCCGTCCTAGCACTGACTTCAAGGTGGGTAAATGAGAAGGATCCTGTAACTTTGTGGCTTAAGGATAGGGGTGCTAGTGACGGGGTGCTTCAGTCCCACTCTTATTCCAGATGAATCTTAAGCCTTGTCCAGGACCAAGCCACTTCCAGGTAGAAAGAAATGGGGACCTAAAAGAACAAGTAAGGGGTTTGAAACAGGAGAACAGAAATAACTAGTGACAGACCCAAATACACTTGTCTCTTAGTGGGTCCCACCCCTGTCCTATGATTTGGCTTCAGTGGTTGGCTCTGCACCCAGTCTCATGTACTAACCGGAAAAGAGAGAGGCCTTATCACGGCAATGTTAGTTAAGATTTATAGGGCATTTTGCATGTAGTCCGTACTGTGCTGGCCACTTTCTGTATATCATTATTCACAATTTAAAGTCACTCTCTGAGCTTGATGTTTGTCATTCTCATTTTATTGATTAGGAAGCAGGTTTAAATTCTGAACACAGAGGCTTATATATTGTACAGCTCTTGTAAGCGGTAAGAGAATAATATGATCATTCTCCCCTTGGGGCATGTAGGTAGAACTACTTGGATAATTTAATTTGACTTTTCTGACATGACTGTTCTTGAAATTTAATTCTTGTTTGGTTAAATGTCTGGCTGTTTATTTCTCTAATCCTTTGAACATATCTATGAAGCAGCCAGCCTAGATAAGAACTACCTTCAGATTTGAAGCCATGAAGCTAGGAGAGGGTAGCCTCTGTATGGCTGTCCAGAGCTAAGTTGTTTGTGATTCAGTCAGTAATTTCATTCAGTCAGTAACTTCATCATCATCACCTCAGCTTTCGAGTTTAAGGCTCACATCTGATTGTCAGTTACAAGAGGAGGTTTTCAAAAGCACAGTGGGCCTCAGCATTCTGAATCAGTATATGTAGAAAACTCAACCTAAGATGGGAATTGGTTCAAGCCTCTAAACGTTCCAACCTTGGGAAAGGTGGAAGCAGGAATATCAGTTCAAGGTCATTCTTGACAATATAGCAAGGGAGAGGCCAGCCTGAGTTACTTGAGACCTGAGTTACATAAGACTTTTTTTTTCTCCCTTTTTTGAGACAGGGTTTCTCTGGGTAGCCTTGGCTGGCCTTGAACTCACAGCGATCTGCCTGCCTCTCCCTCCCTCTCCCCAAATGCTGGGATTAAAGCCATGTTCTACCAAGCTCAGCTGACTCTTATTTACTTTTTAATCAGTTCATTCATTCATTTGTTCATTCATTCCTTTTGTTTGTTTATGGCTTTTGAGATGAGGATAGCCCTTGCTGTCCTGGAACACACTATGTAGACCAAGCTAGTCTTGAACTTTCTGAGCTGCCTGCTTTTGCAGCTTTGAGCCACCACTCCTGGATTTATCATGTTTTTATTTTGTGTGAGTGAAAGCCCATGCAGAGATTAACAGGACAACTTTTGGGAATTGGTTCTTTCCTCCACATTGTAGGCTGAATGGATTGGACTTATCATCAGGCTTGGTTTACTGGCTAAACCATCTTGGCAGCTCAGAGAGCTTGTACTAAAAGAAAAGAAAAAAAGTTAAGGAGTGGTGGCACACACCTTTAATCCTAGCACCCTGGAGGCAGCAGCTGGCAGAACTCTGTGAGTTTGAGACTAGCTTGAGCTACACAGAAAGTTCTAGGTCAGCGTGGCTACATAGTGAGATCCTATCTAAAAACAAAGCCCCTGTAATATTCTATTATTACTAATATTCTGTTGGATTCAAGCTTGTAATTTCTTGTCAATTTAGAATATTAAGTGCTAAGTTTAAGCTTTTTAAATTCTAAATTGATGGAGTAGAAATGACTGATTCTACTAGTGTAGTAAAAGCAATATTATCAAAAGGCCTAATTTTGTATATACTGTTTTATAGAATGATATATTACTCCTGTTTATAATTCCTACAACCATTTGCGTAACAGTTCCCTACTCTGGGTCAGTTATCTTTGTAGTTCATGGGTCATTATCAGGATGACACTGGCAGCTTACAAAGTAGTTAGCAACTGCTGAATAAAGTTCACTGATCTTTTGCGACATGTCAGAAACTTATGCCAAGTTTGCTGTCTGAGGTTGACATTCCATTTTCTTATTGTTGTTGTTATTCTTTTTTTGGTTTTTGAGACAGGATTTCTCTTTGTAGCCTTGGCTGTCCTGGACTCAATTTGTAGGTCTGGCTTTAAACTAACAGCGATCCGACTGCCTCTGCCTCCCTGAGTGCTGGGATTAAAGGCGTAGGCCACCGCCTGGCTATCATTCTCATTTTAAAATGAGAAAGGAAGCATGGCTCACCTCAGTTCTGGTTCTGATTGGAGCTAGGCTCAAGTCCATTCTGTATTTTGCCAAAATGAAAAGAAGAGAACAAGCCATAGTAGAAGACATTGAAAAAAGAAAGAAGGAAGCATTTGTTATCCCCATCCTGGACTCTGCAGGAAAAGGACACGAGAATGGAAGCTGGTGTATCTGATTGCTCTTAGAATTGTAACTAAAAGAAGAAAGCGCCTTGTTTTTCCTGTAGCCTGTAACTGAAGGGAAAACAAAGCAACAGCTAGAGCAAAGAAACTACAAGTGGCAATCTCAGCCCCAGGGAGGTAGAAGTAGGAGGATCAGAAGTTCAAGGTTACTCTCAGCTACAACACAAGTTCCAGACTAGCCTTGGCTATATTAGACCCTGCCTCAAGAATGAAAAGTGAGGGTAAGGGCCCCTGTAATGCCCAGAAGGCACATTTGTAAATTGGTTATGCTCTGGGAGTAGTATAGACTCTCAGGTTCCTCAGGATCAGAGAGGGAGTTGGTAGGTAGAATGAGAATCATGCTCAGGAAGCTGGGTGTAAAGGAAGAACTTGGAGTAGGGAAATCCCCGGCCAAGGGAATAGCTTGGAGTCACAACTTAAAGGGATAGACAGGACAAGTGTAGGAGGTGACGCTAGAAATGTAGGTTTCATATTTTGAAAGTGGCAGAGAATCGCTTTAAGACTTTTAGCATAGGTACAGCATCTCCAGAAAAGTGTTCAGTAGGTGATTTGTAGGTGCTGAGGAAGATGGCTTATCAAGTGGAAGTGACAAAGGCAGGGACATTCATTCCTGTGGGTGGACTTCCTGTGGAGTTTAAGCCATGTGTATATCAGCTGTTTATTGAGTATAGAGTGCTGGAGCCATAAAGATCCAGCCTCTCCAGAAGGCACACACAAAGCTTAAGCATCATGTATGCAAGGGCGTGTTAGAGGCATTTATGATAGAAGGAGTGTGGGAAGGAAGGGCTTATTTGACACTCAGCAGTGGTGAGATCAGGCTTTGGATCTCCGTTGTGAGGAGGATTGGAGAGAGGCTCTGTAGGCCAGGTGCTTCTCATCATTTCCCTGACTAACCTTCCCTTTCCTGATCCTCAGGCCAAGCTACAAAGGCATGTGGAACCACTTAGGAAGCACTTAGAGGCTGTGCAGAAGATGAAGGCCAAGGAGGAGAGGCGGGTAACCGAGTTGAAGGTGGGTGATGTCTGTAAGTGGGCGCAGACTGCTTCTGTTGTCAGAGTAAGGAAGATGAGACTGCCAAATACCACAGTGACCAGATTCCCTGAGGAAAGGATAGTCAGGGCCTGGGAAGTGGGCAGATACTTTTCTAGTGATCTGAGGTGATGCACCCTTCAGAGTTAGGAAGCATGTTCTGTTGAATTATGGTATTAGTAGGGGCCTTTTCTGCTATCCCTCTTAGCTCTCAAATAATTGACAGAGACTTGTAAGATTTATTAATAAGTTTTAAGCATTATAACTGGGCAGATATTCTATTCTAAACTAATTATGCTAGTCTTGCTACCTCCCAGTCCTGTACCCTTTAATTTGCCATCTCTATCTCGCTTTGGCCTTCTGCTGCATCTCTGTGTCCTCATGGCAAATGTCTTATTGCACCTTCCTCATGGTGACTTGTCTCTCTTCTCCTCCACCTTCCTCTTTCTCTGCTTCCTCTGAGACCCTAAACACATACACACTAAGAATGGAAGTCCTACCTCCTATCTCCTTTTTCTAGTCATTGGCTGTTCAGCTTTTATTAATCAATCAGAGATAATTGGGGAGCATTGATACAGGAGATCCTTTATAGAAGTGACAGTCCCATATCCAGACTACAACCAGATCTCAGGGCACAGAAATAAGCATCTGAATACACAACGCACAAAACTGTCCCCCAACCAGTGTTCCTTTCTATTTGCAAAATGTAGACCAGCCAACCAACCTCAGCAAGCCAGGCCTCAGGTCTAAAGCTACAGAGGACACCCGGCCCTTGACTCTGGATAGCACAGAAAGCAAGTGAGCAAATCTATAGAACAGCTGCCAGAGGAGTACCACGTCCCCGGATACACAGAGATGGCAGGCAGAGCTGCCCTGAACATTAAGGTTGTGGTTGTACACTGGAAAGAAGGGCAAACTGCTGGGAAAAGGAAGAATTAGTGATCGTTGGCATTACAGAGACCTGTCCTCTTTCCCAGTGTTCTCATCCGATTTACATTTGCTTACTTCTCTCCAAGTAGTCTCACTCCCTCATCTCCTGCCGGTTTTTAGAAGGCCAGCAAGCTGTGCTGGAATGGACTGTGTCCTGTGGCGAAGCTAAGCTTAGCCATCAAATGGGGACACCCCTTTCTTCTTACCTGGTCAGAGTGTGGACCTTGCCACTTCTAGAACCCATAGTAGTGCCATCTGCACATGAGGGACTCACTGCTGAGAAATGCCAATCACAGTGTGCTATCTGGCCAGCTGCCCAAGCTGATACTTTTAGGGTCTTTGAGTTACAGAGAACGTATGCTAGGATCTGTCTTCAAGGCAGAGAGTAAAACCAATTCGATGGCTACTTTCTTACCTGCTTGATAGTTCCTTCTCCCCACCAGGCTAATTAATCTTCGTCTAGAGTAATATTAATGGAAAAAGTATGGTTATCATTCAGAATGGTCTAGCCCAGGCAAACATGTTGGGACTAGGCAGTGTTCTGTTACAGGATACTAAGTATAGGTTGTGTTCTATCTATGTCCTCCTTCAAGTTTAAATTGGAAATTAAAAAAAAAAAAAGCAACATTGCTTAACATAGAGACCCTTTTGTTTGTTTGTTTGTTTTTCCCAGATTTTTGATGCAGGGTTTCTTCTGTGTGGCTCTGTCACAATGACTGTCCTGCCTGGAATTCACTCTGTATACCAGGCTGGCCTTGAACTCACAGAAATCCACCTGCCTCTACCTCCTAAGTGCTGGGACTAAAGGTGTGTGCCACCGCTTGTTTTTGTTTTTTTGTTTATTATTATAAAGTCTTTATTTCTGCCAGACTTGGGAGGCAGGTGCAGGTGGATCTCAGTGAGTTTGAGGCCAGCCTAGCCTACATAGTGAGTTCCAGGACAATCAGACCTTGTCTCACTCCTGACCCCCAAAAGTCTTTATTCTTTATACAGTATTGTCTTAGTTACTTCTCTATTGCTGTGAAGAGATATGATGAAAAGGCAACTTATAAAGTGTTTATTGGGCCTCATGGTCTTGGGTAGAGAGGGCTAGTAGGGAATAGTGTGGGCTTTTGAAATCTCAAAGCTACCCTGGGTGACACACATCCTTCAAGGAGGCCACAGCGCCTAATCCTCCCTACTAGTTCCACCAATTGGGGCCAAGTATGGACCTAGCCTATGGTGTGTGTGGGGGGGTGGAGTCATTCTCATTCAAACTACCACAAGTCAAGTTTAACTCTTTCGTAGTTTTTACGTTGTTTTGGGTGTTATGAGACATTAAAGTATAGGGGAGGATATATGTTATTTTATATATGGGATTTGTGCATTTGCTGATTTGTGCCTCCACCAAACCCACTTGATTATCTAGGAACAACTACATCTACAAAGTATTTTACCTGTTGGCTCTAGTGCATAACCTTTACAGAAGGGTTTTCGGACTCCTAGTCTAGAGGACTTAAGTGATTGCTCTCCTCTGACAGCTGTGACTGAGAGTCAGGACGTCATTTTATAGTTCATCTTTTTGTGTATTTGTTTGTATTTTTTTGAGATATGGTTTCTATGTGTAGCCTTGGCTATCCTGGACTTACTTTGTAGACCAGGCTGGCCACAAACTCACAGAGATCTGTCTGCCTCTGCCTCCCTGAGTGGTAGAATTACAGGTGTGCACCCCCGCCCCCAGCTTTTTGTGTTTTGAGAAAGGGTTTTATATTGTAGCCAGGCTAGCTTCAGATAGGGAATAGTTCATTTGCTTCAGCCTGAAGAGTATTGGCATTATAGACATGAGCCCTCATGTCTAGCTTCACTTCAAGTTTAGCTTCCTGAATTCTCTCATTTGGTAATTTCATAAATTTCTTATCAAATACTTACCTGTGGTTGGCATTCTGCCAGCCTCTGGTGGTACCATGGCAAAGACATGCACAGGTCCTATCTGTGTGAACACACAGCATAACAGAAGAGAATGTTAAGATACTACAAAGTTGGGCATGTGGCTTAAATCTTTAACAAACTGGAGGTTGAGGCAGGAGGACTGTGAGTTTGAGGTTAGCCTGGTCTACAAAGCAGGACTCTGTTTCAGAAGCAAAACAACCTGATCAGCAAAATGGCTGAGTTGGTAAAGGTGCCTCCTACCAAGTTTGCTGACTTGTGTTCGATCCCTGGGACCCAGATAGTGGAAGGAGAGAACCAGTTCCTGCAAGTTATCCTCTGACTTCCATGCATGTGTCCCCATATAGAGCTACACAGAGAAACCTGTCTTAAGCCTCCTTGAAAAAGAAAAGAAGGGAAGAAAGGGTCTGTATATCAACCATTATTTCAGGAATTGGGCTATCTCAGTGGAACACTATAAGACTGAGCCAGGGAAAGGAACGTCTCTTTCTACTCTTAGGACTTGTTTAGAGTGAGGGATCATGAGGCTCCTTTGCCTGAGGTTGAGAGACAAAAAATGGAAAACTGTAAGTTTACCTTCCTGTATGTTCAGGTGGTGGCCTACATTTCCTTTACTTCTCTTTTTAAAAATTTTAGTGTATGGGTGTTTTGCTTGTATGAATGTATATGTATACATGTTAATGATTGGCCCCAGAGGTTGAGAGAAAGCGTTGACTCTCCTGGAAGTAGAGTCACAGACAGTTACGGCCTGACATGTGGGTGCTGGGAGTCAGACTGAAGTCCTCTGGAGAATACACAGTACTCTTAACCACAGAACTGTGTCTCCATGCCTGCCTCTGCGTCTTTCTAGAGTCAGATGAAGTCAGAGCTGGCAGCTGTGGCCTCAGAGTTTGGGCGGCTGACACGCTTTCTGGCTGAAGAGCAAGCAGGACTAGAACGGCGCCTCCGGGAGATGCACGAAGCTCAGCTGGGAAGAGCAGGAGCAGCAGCCAGTCGTCTTGAGGAGCAGGCTGCCCAGCTAAGCCGCCTGCTTGCTGAGGCCCAGGAACGGAGCCAACAGGGGGGCCTGCGGCTACTGCAGGTAAGGACCGTCCCCTGCGCCCTTCTGCTCCCTTTTTGTTCTGTCAGGCTGTACTCCCCAACCACTGCCCACAAGGGTCTGTTCCTCACTGGGAAGAACTCTTAACACTTTTAATGTGAAGATGAGACATTTTTTGAGGCTGGTGACAGTATTGAATGTATGTGTGTGCCAGTCAGACCTAAAGAAGGCAGGTTCAGTTGCTAGAGGTACTCTAGATGGCTTGAGAAAAGTGCCTGGCTCTGACTGAAAATTCTGTTCTTGGGGCTCATGGCAGGAGATGGATTAGGTCTGGTAGTAGCAGGGTGTTTGATAAGTATTCTTGTTTATTGTGAGCCTGTTCGTGGTCAGACCTTTCTCTAGGAAGACTGGGAGAGAGAGCAGTGATCCCTGTGCAGCTGACACTTTGTTTCTCTTTTTCCCTCTCCCTCTTTTCCCCTCTGTTATTCCCAGGACATCAAGGAGACTTTCAATAGGTGTGTTCCCACTCTGCCCTTTGTGACCTAGTAGTGTCTGGTCCCCATTCCTGCCTCTCTGAGACTTCCTTTCCTTTTTCCCTTCCTTTCTCCTTCCCTCCCACTGTCTCTCCTCAGGTCCTAAGTTTCTGCTTCTTAGAGCTCCCCCCCCACCCACCCCGCCCCATTCTTCCCCCTTTAGCGTTTGTTCTTTACTCTGGGAATATCATGCTCCCACCCCCTCCCTGGTCCCCCTCCTCCAGGTGTGAAGAGATACAGTTGCAGCCCCCAGAGATTTGGTCTCCTGACCCATGCCAACCCCATAGCCACGACTTCCTGACTGATGCCATCGTGAGGAAGATGAGCCGGATGTTCTGTCAGGCTGCAAGAGGTAGGGAGGTCAATGGCCTTCCTTTGCCATTCCTTTTACAGACCTAAGATGAGGTTCTGAGGGAAGTTTGGGGAGCTGGGATGGAGTAGGCTATTGGAGGCTACTCTGAGGTGAGGGTTCAAGCCAAGAGGTGTTTCCATGGTGGCCCAGCTGAGTTTTGGGTAGGTGAGGTGGAAAGTCAGGGACTGGAAAGCCAACAGTGTTAAAGAGAATTAGGGTGAAGTTAGAGTCCATAGATGCTGAGCTTGGACTCTGTTTAGGGTGGGTGCTAGGAAGAGTTGGATGGGTTAGGAGAGGAGGATAGTGTGGAGCCTGAGAGGGTAAGGTGTATTTGTTGTATTGCCTTTCCCTTTACAAGTGGACCTGACGCTGGACCCTGACACAGCTCATCCAGCCCTGATGCTGTCCCCTGATCGTCGTGGGGTCCGCCTAGCAGACCGTCGGCAGGAGGTTCCTGAACATTCCAAGCGCTTCTCAGCTGACTGCTGTGTACTGGGGGCCCAGGGCTTCCGCTCTGGTCGGCACTACTGGGAAGTAGAGGTGGGTGGGCGGCGGGGCTGGGCAGTTGGTGCTGCCCGTGAATCAACCCATCATAAAGAAAAAGTGGGTTCTGGGGGTTCTTCTGTTAGCAGCGGAGATGCCAGCTCCTCACGCCATCACCATCGTCGCCGCCGCCTTCACCTGCCTCAGCAGCTCCTGCTCCAGCGGGAAGTGTGGTGTGTGGGCACCCACGGCAAACGATACCAAGCACAGAGCTCAACAGAGCAGACACTGCTGAGCCCATGCGAGAAACCACGGCGCTTTGGCGTGTACCTGGACTATGAGGCTGGGCGCCTGGGCTTCTACAATGCAGATACCTTAGCCCACGTGCACACCTTTTCAGCTGCCTTCCTTGGCGAGCGAGTCTTCCCTTTCTTCCGGGTGCTTTCCAAGGGTACCCGAATCAAGCTTTGCCCTTGATTAGCCTGCCACCCGCAGGGGCCCCCTCTGGTTGCCACTGGGGGGGCGGGTGGTGGTGGATGGTTGCCCAATATATTTGGGAGCTCAGGCTCCTCCCACTGTTTGTTACTGAGTTGCTTCCTGCTCCCCCTTGAACCCAGGCTGCTTCTCCCTCTAGGAGCCAAAAAAAAAAAAAAAAAAAAAAAACACGCCTCCTAGGTTTCCTCCAGCTCAGTTTCTCTCAACTAATTTGTCTGACAAGGTCTGCATGGGTCCCTGATAATCAACAGCTGCCTGACCTTCCCTCCCTGTCTACCTAGCTCAGTCCAGCCCTGGGTCCCAGTGTTTTGGAGTAGGGGGATGAACAGAGATCATAAATCTCATTCCACAACTTCCTTTTTCCCCACCTCTACTCTTCAGGCTGTTATTTCTGAGGCTGGAGGGTTTGGATAAGACTTACTTATTCCAATTCCATGTTTTGGTGCAGGCTTCAGCTGAGGGATTTTGGAAGCTTTGTGGGGAGTCAAGTTGGGCAAAAGGGTAGAGCTGTGTAAAGTCTACTTTTTCTTGGGGGAGTAGGAACTCTTTTTAAGCTTTCCTTCCATCCCCAATTTCTACCTCCATAGACTGGCCAGACTTTAGCTGCAGTGAGATCTGGAATGGTCAACATGACACCACATACCATTACATCACCCAATAAATTATTTTCTCTGTATCTTAGTTTTCTTATTTAGGAGGGCATGCCCCTCAGACCTCCAACCCCCTACTGCCAGGCTCTTTACTGGCAGTAAATTTCGGTTTCTGGCCTCTCTCCATGCCTTTTAGTTCCATTGGTAAACCCTGTTGGGGAGTATGGGACAGGGGTCTGGATCCTTTGGAGAGCCTTGGGTATAATCTATTTTTCTAGTAACCCCCTGCCTTCTGTCACTTAACAGCTTTTGTCCTCCGCTTTGGTGGCTGAGGTCAATTCATGTTCTTTGGGGAAAGGTGGGTTGCATTGCAAAAAAAATAAAGTTTATTTGCTTCTTTTGTGAAGTCTTCTTTAAAAGCAGGGGCTGGCTGTGCTTTCCCATTGACAGCCTTGGAGCTGGCTAGCTAGGCCCCTCACCCTTCCTGTTTAGCTGTCAACAACTGAGACAGTTGTCTGGACCAGGACAAAGCCGCCTCCAAATAATGGTTCTTGGTGCATTCTGCCACACAACATGCATATCCAGCCCAGTCCTAAGGACGTCTGGCTCCAGCACCCTTTATCGGCTTATGACTTGATCCCCAGTGTGAAGAGTTTGCCTGTCTGCTCAACTTACAGGTTAAATGGGCTTCAGCTAAGGCAACTAGGGGGCTAGTTTGATGCCTTAGGGGTTAGGAACACCGAACTATGTGACTTACTTCCAAGGGATCTGAGACAAACACACACACATGCAGGCAGGCACAACACTAATGCACATTAAAAAAAAAAATGTCATCAAGGAAGGCAGGAGTGGACAGCCAGGGCCACATAGTTAAAACTATCTCAAGGAGATGGCTCCATGGTTTAGAGCTTGGGCTGTTGTTCTTCCAGCCCAGCACCCACATACAGCTAGCTTATAGCTCCATTTCCAGGTAACATAACACCCTCTGGAACAGAGATAAAGGAAAGAGGAATGTGGGCCAAGTGGGACAGTAGTATGTGTTAATGTAGCTTTAAGGAGGGTTGGCCAGGATGCAGGAACACACATACCCATATTACCAAAGGAAGAAGCGTCACTTGAATGAACGTGACAGACTGCTTTGGTTTAAGTTATTGTGCCTTGCTCACCAGGCAAGCAAGAGTACCTCCTAAAAATCATAGCTGAAGCCAGTTTCAGAAAGCCAGTTTTATTTCAAAGACTCTGTCATAAACTTTTAGCGGGTACCGATAGTCACCTGCCACACTCGCACCAGGTTGTCAGTATAGCCAGCAAACAGAGTCTGTAAGAGAACGACAATGGGGTCACCACATGTCCAAAGAACTTAGGACGCCCTCTCTTCTGACATGTTAAGTTTATGTTGCTAGAGGCAGCAGCCTGCTATACTGCTTCAGACATTCTAAAGCCCCCTCCAGTTTAAAGGTTAATTAACTCCGTACCATTTTTCCTCAGAAAGAAACAGACACAGCATTCTCTGTATCGACTTAGTCTACCTTAAATCGGCCTGGTTCACCGTTCTGTTTATGTTAGCAATATTAGACTGAAGAGCAAGGGAGCCAAGCTGTGAAATGAGCTGGTGGACTGATGCACTCACCTGGCCATCGGCAGACCATGCCAGAGAGGTGCACTGGGGTGGCTCTGCCTTGCTGCTGGTGCTGATGACTTCTTGTTTCAGTTCATCTACAATGATCTTGCCCTCCAAGTCCTGAACAGACCAAAACCAGTTTAAGGACACCCATTACACCTACACCATGACTCTTGGAACCCCCTCAGTGGAGCTGGCAGGATGGCACTACATGTGGAAGTGCTTTGCTTCAACCCTAGTAACTATGGAGACAAGATTTGCCTGGCCCCCTAACATGTACCACACCATGCATATACCTAGATACCAAAAAACTATTCTAGCCTGTACTCAGCCACCAAACAACAACAAAAAACCCAAAGCAACCCACCCCAAACAAAACACTTCTTGGGGCCTGGAGGCTCAGGTCTCTAATCTTTGCTACTTGGGAGGTAGGACTGCCAACTTCAAGGTCTGATCACAGAACAGTGCAAATTGACCCTTAAAAGTAAATGTTATATACACAGGAATCACTTATAGCCCAGTCTGGTGCTGCACACCTCGTATTCCATACTCATGAGGTAGAAGCAGATTATCTGTGAGCTCCCCGAGGCCAGCCTACGTAGTATAGCTGTCTACAAAGATCACTAAATTGAACCCAGCTGTTACTAGCAGCATAGGGAAGGACTCTTAACTGATACACATGGGGAGTCCCCTTCAATAGGTAGATGCTATTCACCCAGTGTGGCAAATTGTTAAAAAGGGGGGGGGGGCGCGCATAAGGGGGGTTACCCACCTCAGCACTGATGCAATCTACTGAGAAAGCTTTACTTCTACCAGTTAAGTCAATGTGCTGTGCAACAGACCACACTTACCCAGATCTTGATACTGGGGCCAGTAGCCGCACAGAGCCAGTAGCGGTTGGGGCTAAAGCACAAGGCATTGATGATGTCCCCGCCATCGAGTGTGTACAGGTGCTTGCCTTCATTGAGATCCCACAGCATAGCCTGGCCATCCTGGACAGGAAAAAAAGGTGTTAGTTATCAGGACAGATTCTATCTGTTCGTGATCTTAAGCCTTTCCTTTCAATGGACAATACCTTAGAAACTGCACCAAACCCCAACTTTAAAAAGCAAACTTCTTTGGTATACTTTTCTTCATTATTTTAAAATAATGCTTAGAAAAACTCCCACACAGTTTAGTGCATGCTACCAGAGAAGCAATCTTTATAAAGGGGACAAGTCCAAATACCTTGCCTCCAGAAGCACAGAGGGACCCATCTGGAGAGACCGTTACTGTGTTTAGATAGCCAGTGTGGCCAATGTGGTTGGTCTTCAGCTTGCAGTTAGCCAAATTCCACACCTAGAAAAACAGGACTTCACAGGTGACCAGGGTTAACAACAAAGGCATGACATCCTCTTTCAAGCTTGTCTGAGGTTGGACACGGACCTTTAATCCCAGCCCAGGAGGCAGGTGGATCTCTGTGAGTTCAAGGCTGGCCTGGTCTACAAAACTGAGTCCAGGATAGCCAGGGCTCTTTTAAACATATAATCCTTGCCTTGAAAAATCTAAAAACAAAAACCCTAAATATAGACCCAACAGTTGAGTGGCTGAAACAGGAGAACTACACATTTGAGGCCTGCCTGGATGACACAAGCCAGCCAGATAAGAGTGTGGAACCTGGCCTCAAAGACAAACCATCAAAAGCCAGTGTCAAGCTCATGTGCACAACACTCCAGGCTGAATGCATTACCACCCAGGGACTGAGAACACATCTGCATCTAACAGGGCTGTGCTCATGCTCACCTTGACCAGCTTGTCCCACCCACACGAGACGATGATGGGGTTGCTGCTGTTCGGGGAGAAGCGGACACAGGACACCCATTCCGAATGACTCTCATCCTACAGAAGATGCAGGGGAAGGTAAGCATGAAGTCTCCCTCAGACTATAGCATCCTGTACTCACTTCCCCCAAACCTTAGTCTTTACTTCAGACCAACAGAGCAGCTGAAGACATTTGCTGTCAGGCCTGCTGACACTTCCTGCAGCTGTAGGATGCCTCCAGTGTTTACCCACTCCTCATGGAGCACACAACCAGGCGCAGCTCAGAAACAGCCTCTGGATTTCAGCACTGCAGCTCAGATGGCATGTTGGAGTCATCACTGCCCGCCTGACTTGTAGCCCCTAGCGTATCTCCAGGAGGTAGGTGAGATTTAACATCATCTAACCCCTAGGGCAGTAACACTTGGGTATCTGCCCATGCGCCTAGTGCCCGCTCTGTTGATGGCCTTGCTTTGGGTTTCCAGCCCTCAACATGGCAAGAGAAAACCAATTCCTCTAAGCATCATGCCACTCATGAGGCAACATGCATAACAACAGTAAAAGCCCACCAAAATCCCAGGACAAACATAAGAAAAAGCTAAAGAGCTGGGTGGTGAGATACAGCTTTAATCCCAACACCCAGGAGGCAGATCACTCCAGGCCAACCAGGCATGCAGAATGATGAACCCATCTCAAGGGGTGGGAGACAATCTCAACACGTAGTTCCTGCCATCCTCATCACTTTACCTGGACAGTGTACTTGCAGACACCCAGGGTATTCCATAACTTGATGGTTTTGTCTCGGGATCCAGAGACAATCTGGCGGTTGTCAGAGGAGAAGGCCACACTCAGCACATCCTTGGTATGGCCTACAAATCGTCTTGTGGTGGTGCCCCTGAGAGAGAGAACCTGGTCACTTTCTAGACAAATTTTATCCCTTTACAGTTAGATCTAACTTCATTCTTGTCCAAGTAGGCCCCATCATTCCACACAGCCCACGTGGGGCTCAGAACCTACCATTAGCCCACACCTGACATGTTACAGAGAACCCATTCAGAATTGCAGGACATGTCCTCATTCCCTGTGGGGATTGGTTGACAATGTCGACTTGTCATCACTAGGATCCTCTGTGACATCTGCCAAATGCCCATCTACAACAACCTTCAAACTAAGACACTCAACAGCCCGTGCCCCGTAAAAAAAAAAAGGCTCAACTACATCAACCCAGCAGCTCCAAGGGAAGAGGCCAAACCCCCAAAATCTTGCCTCACCCGCCACAAAAAGACTTATTTCTAGTGGGATTCCTAAGAAATCTATCTCAATTTTGCCCAGGTCTCCCCCAAGGTCCCAAGGCAGCTACTTGCGTTGTGAGATCCCAGAGGCGCAGCGTTCCATCCCAGGAGCCGGAGAGGGCAAACTGACCATCAGAGGAGATGACGACATCGCTGACAAAGTGGGAGTGACCCCTCAGAGCTCGCTGTGGTATGCCATAGTTGGTCTCATCCCTGGTCAACTTCCACATGATGATGGTCTTGTCTAAAGACGATGGTAAAGGCAAAGAAATCCCTTCAGGACCCCAAAGCCTACTTACTGTGCACAACTCACAGTGTCCTATGGTTACTGGTGCAGTAAAGGAACACCTACATTGAGCGGGAGACTTCAAGTTATAAAAGGGCTCATTCTAGAATACAGAGAGAGGAGGGCACATTTAAGATGTAATCTGAGGCTGTGGGGTACCACATTTCCTTGGACTGGGGTTCAACATAAACGTATTTAATGTGCACTACTTGTGTATATGGTTTAAAGATGGGCTTTGGGGTTGATCTAACAAGTCTGTATCATTAATAAAATAGCGGGTCAAGAAATAACTGCAGCCTTATATATGAATCGACAATTCCACAACAGAATGGTTCATCATTATCTCCTGTAACTAGTCACGGAGGGACTGCAAATCACCATGTGAGTTCTGAAAAAACCAACCCCAGCCATATCCATCGATCCTGCCCAAGAGTAATACAACAGTAGCACTGTCATCTGGGTGCAGGAGTTGGGAGTGTCAGACACAATCCTGGCCACGAACTGGTTCACACTGTACAGAAATGGGTAAAAAGCCCCATAAGCCTCCCATTAGGCAAGAGAGTGTGAACATAAAATCGGGTAAGGAGAACCCGGGAGGGGAAAAACACGACGGAAGTATTATGAAAAGTAAAAAAAAGCATTAAGTCACAAGGGAAAAATAAGCCTCGGGCAGGACAGACCAGTCAGGAGGTCTGGGGAACAAGGAACCTCGGAATTTACCCCTGGTCTACAGAGTTTAGGGCCAGGCGGCAGCGGCTCAGAAACAGCCTCTGGATTTCAGCAAAGCCAAGTCAGATGGCATGTTGGAGTCATCATTGTTCTGCCTGGCTTGTGGCCCCGAAACTACTTCTCCAGAAGACAAGGGGAAGACTTAGAATCACCACCCCCCCCCCCCTTTTTTTTTTCTAGGGCAGTTATGCGACACGTTTCCGCTCATGTGCGAAGGGTCGCCCTGGCTGGGGCCCAGGCTCGGGTCTGCACGCCCCACCAACCCCGGGGTGAAAGAATGGACTGAGCCGGCCACCCCCGCGCGACACTCGCGAAGCCACGAGCCGTGCCGTCCCCGGGACACCGGCGCGCTTCAGCCCGGCAGGCAGCCCGTACCTCGAGACGCCGACAGGATCATGTCCGGGAACTGCGGAGTGGTGGCGATCTGCGTCACCCAGCCGTTGTGGCCCTTGAGGGTTCCACGAAGGGTCATCTGCTCGGTCATGACTGCGGCTGATGCGAGTGTCGCCGCAGCGACAAGGATGGCACCGGATAGCTCGGAGAGCCAAGCACCACGGCGCCTGCCACCGCGGCCCCGTGGAGGAAAAGAAAGAGAGACCTCCGCCGGAACCGGAAATACCGAGAGAACAAGGCGGGGACTCCCAGGATTCACCGCTGCGGAAGCACAGCGGCACCCGGTTGTGGGGGGAACCGGGTGAAGTGCGCCGCGGTATCATCGTTTTTCTCTGCCACGGAACGCAATTCGGCAGCGTTGTTCAAATGGGTTCTGGAGCCGGATGTACCACGCTTTTAGAAGGGCTGCTCGGAAGGTCGCAGCCCGCCCTGGAAGCAGAGAGGCGGCCGACCCACCGCAGTCCTGCAGCGGCTTCCCCTGCCCCTGTGTGGCGGAGACGGAGCTCCGCCCTTTCCGCTTCGTTTTCGGGTCCTCGGTTGGGGCCGCCGACTCAGCCTGACTTAAGGCAGTACAGTTAAAACTGCGACTTGAAGGCATGTGCCATCGGGTCTTGCCTCTTCTTTTTGAACGCAGTTTCATGTGGTGAAGGCTAGACTTAAACTGGCTGTGTAGCCAAAGATGATTTTGAACTCCTGATCCTCCTGCTTCTGTCTCGCAAGTGCTGCGATTGTAACAGGCGAGGATAGAGAGGAAGAACTGGGTTTAGATTTCTGGGGATTGTGCTGAAAGCCCTTTCTGTGGTTCTGACAACCCCACAGAAAAGAATGCTTGTCTGTGTAGCAAGAGGGACAGGGAAGCAGAGGAATACTCATAACCTGGCAACCCGATGACCTTTCCCTTAACACTTGTTTAACTATGTACTGTCCCCTTGTGTTACAGATCACTCGTTAAGTTTTTGTAATTTTACCTCTTGAAACATTATTTCTGTCTGAGTGCGCTTGTGCTTGCAACAGTGCACAGGTGGAAGTCAGGAGTTTTCTCTCCTGCCTTGTGGGTTTGCTACAGGTGACTTTACCTCTTGCTCAGTTCCTACATTTTTAAAAAGGGACACAGGTCAGGGTGGAAGCAACCACTAATATCAATGTGAACTAAAGGATACATTTATCTATTTATTTTAGTGATATGGATGCTAGGAAAGTGCCTTATGGAGTTACGTTTACTCCCATCTCCCAACCTTGTTCAGCTTTTGTTCTTTTTTGAAAGAGTCTCACTACGTGGAAGATACGGCTGGCCTGGAACTCAAAGAGTTCTGAGTGCTGGGAATGCTGGGATCAAAGGAATTCGTCACCATGTTCAACCTTGTTTAATTTTTGATACATTCTGGATGGTTATAGCTCATAACCATCTATAATGAAATCTGGTGTCCTTATGCATACAGGCAGAACGCTGTATACATAATAAATAAATCTTTAAAAAAAAGAAAGAAAAAGTGACAAATCAGAGACGATTTAACAAATTGGATACTCCCAACTCTGAGGAGAAGAGAGAGGAAAGGAAAGGGAAGCTACTTAAGGGGCAGTGCAGACAGAAAGGAGAATTTATTATTATCTTTTTAACCAGGACAGTAGTAGATAGGCTGCAGAGAGAGAACGCAGGTAATGACCAAATGAGCCAGAGAATGAGAAGGAGTCAGAAAAATAGAGCAGATCACTGGAGTTAGTGTGAGGTCACACGGAGGAATTCAGAGGCTGAGGGAAAAGCAAAAGTGAATAAATCATCTGGTTCAACTCAGTACAGCTGAGTTGAACCAGCCAGCCCAGGGCTCAGTAAGAACTTGAAAGGATGAGCTTATTCAGCAGTAAGTCTCAGAGGTGAAAAATGTTCTAGGCCTATTGTAGGGAAGATAGAAGCATCCAGGACTAGGCGTAGGTTAGCAGATGGAGGTAGTAATTCCAAACAACCACTGAAACAGGAGAATAAAAAGTCCCCTTTACACTCACCCACTAAAGCTGAGCATCTCTTCATCAATTGCTTTCTGAAGTATTGGCAAATGTGCATAGTTTAGGCCAGGAAACCCTGACTCTGAGGAGGAATCAGTAGATTTGACTCTTGGTCCACAAATATTTCCAGGTTCTTCTAGCAGAGCCACTTTCTAGCTGCAGGATATTTGAGTATCAGCCATGCTTCTCCCAAAACATGCCTGCAAACCTTGGGAATGATTTCTGGCTTTTTTCTAACCCACTGGTCATATCCTCCAATCATTCAGAGAAGGGAAGCCTATTGAATACCCTTCTCTCTCACACACACACTCACAAACACACATTAGGGCTTGGGGAAAAGATTCAGAGTTAGCCCATACCATGTTGGCAGAACCCTTTCTGGCAGTGCCCACCATTCCTGGCCTGATGTTCACCGTGTGTCATCATGTGTTGTCTTAACCTCTGCGCTGTGCCTTCTCTTGTGTCCTCATGGACTGCTTCCATTCCGCATAAAGGAAGCATCCCTTGAGAAACTGGAAAGGCTTCTAAGAGAGCCCATGTCTTCCTTTTGTAGATGCCCACAGGCTGTCCTGAAGGAGCACTGTGACCTTGGGCTCCACTCGCCTTTGCCAGCATTCAGCGCTCTGGAGGTGGGGGCTCTTTGTAGATAAGTGAGGGATTGACGGGTGTGTGGTCAGGATCAGTCAGCCAAAGCGCTGGGCAGATGGCATTCCATGCTTGAAGATAATGCCCAAGCCCTTCTGGCTACGCAGATTCCTGGTGACTGTTTTCATCAGGCCCCTGCATGGTCATAACCCATCATTTTCCTCCACACAACCCTTTACACATTACTTGTCTGCCCAGAAGGCCCTCTACATTCTACGTTCCTCACAGCTAAAACTAAACCTCCTTGAATCTCACCTCAGGTTGCCAGGAAGTGTTTGGTGACACCCAAGTCAAGGATAGGTTCCTTTGGTGCTCTCATGGCCATGCTTGTAGTCACTGGTCCTAAGCTCAAGCTCAACACATGCCTACTGGACTCTTCCGGCTTCCTTTATTTGTGTCCTGGGGACAGGACTGCTCTATGTCTGCCCACATTTTGTGTTCCCAGCGCCGTGTTGAGGACTTAGCCTGCAAGAAGATCCTAGTCTTCATGGTGAGACTTACAGGCTTACTTTTAAATGTCAAAGGAATGGTGTTCCAGAGAGAGGGGTCAGCATGGGTGCAGTTTTGGCTTTGAGAGCTTAGGTAGAAGACAGTGAAGGTATTTGTTGCTGAAGAGTCAGAATTTTGTCCTGAAGTCTCAGGTAGTCTCTTCAGGTGAAGAGCTGAGAGGCTCTAGACTTGATAGTTTTTCATAAAATCTGAACAATGGAACTGTTTCTGTTTTCCAAGGCAGGGTTTCTTTGTGTAGACCTCATTGTCCTGCAACTCCAACTGTAGACCAAGCTGGCCTTGAATTCACATTCACAGAGAGCCCTCTGCCTCTGCCTCCCTAGTGCCAGGATGCCACCACCAGGTGGCGCACCACCGCCGCCACCCGGCAGCAGTCACCTTAGGTGGGTGCTAGCGGAAGGTGTGCTCAGTGTTTCCGCCGTAGATGTTTAGTCCCAAAGCCAAAATGAGAGAGAGATTGGGTGCAGTCGGGGAGGGGAAAGATAAACATCTGGAACTGCAAAGCAAACACCCCCACTCTGGCTTAATTTTTCATATTTAGAGACGCAATATGTTCAGGATGGCTCAAGTGGCCCTTGGGGTGGAATGCATTCAGGAATGCAAACACACACTCTCTTGTGCACCATGGTATGCACGTACAGGTCAGAGAACAGATTCTCTCCATTTACAACGTGGGCTCTGGCAACAGAACCCAGGTTGCCAGGCTTGGCTGCAAACAACTTTACCACTGAGCCACCTCACCTGCCCCTGTTTAAAACAGCGTTTAAGGCTGTGTATTCCTGTCACTTTACACTGTTTCATACTAAAAAGGAACACACACACACACACACACACACACACACTTGAGTGTACAAACATCCATGCATGTGTGCACATGGATTTTTAAGACTGATTTTATTTTATTTTTAAATATTTATTTATTTATTGAGACAGGGTTTCTCTGTGTAGCCTTGGCTGTCCTGGACTCACTTTGGAAACCAGGCTGCCCTCGAACTCACAGCGATCCACCCGCCTCTGCCTCCCTGCGTGCCGGGATTAAAGGATTTCGCCACCATGCCTGGCTCTATTTTATTTTTTAATGTGTGTATTTGTTAAACAGGCAGGAGTGCTGGTGAGGGCCAGAAGAGGGTGTTGGGTCCCCTAGAGCTGCAGTTACAGATACTTGTAAACGCTGAACATTTTTTTTTTCTTTTAAACTTTTTTTTTGAAACTGAATATTTTTTTTCTTTGTATATGAGTGTTTTGCCTACATGTATGTCTGTGCACTTCATGGGTGCCTGGTGCTTGTAGAGACCAGAAGAGGGCATAGAATCTCTTGAAACTGGAGTTACAGATGGTTTTAAGCCACATGTAGGTGCTAGAAATTGAACCCTGGTCATCTGAAAGTCCAGTTTCAGTGCAGCTAGTGCTCTTTAACGGCTAAGCCATTCCCAACCCACCAATAATATCTTTGTAATGAAATGTTTCCCCAACTAAAAATACCTTAGTTGCTCTTAATTATTTCCCAGTTTTCCCCAGAAGAACCAGGAGTCTCATCAACTCAG